CATGACTACTGGAAAAACCATAGCCTTGACTAGATGGACCAATGTTGGCAAAGTAATGTCTCTGCTTTTTAATATGCTGTCTAGATTGCTCATAACTTTCCTTCTAAGGAGTAAGCATCTTTTAATTTCATGGCTGCAATCACCATCTGCAGTGATTTTGGAGCCCAGAAAAATAAAGTCAGCCACTGTTTCCACTGTTTCTCCATCTATTTGCCATGAAATGATGGGACCGGATACCATGATCTTAGTTTTCTGAATGTTGAGCTCTAAGCCAACTTTTTCACTCTCCTCTCTCACTTTCATCAAGAGACTTTTTAGTTCTTCACTTTCTGCCACAAGGTTGGTGTCATCTGCATATCTGAAGTTATTGATATTTCTCCCGGCAATCTTGATTCCAGCTTGGGCTTCTTCCAGCCCAGTGTTTCTCTTGATGTTCTTTGCATATAAGTTAAATAAGAGGGTGACAATATACAGCCTTGATGTACTCCTTTTCCTGTTTGGAACCGGTCTGTTGTTCCATGTCCAGTTCTAACTGCTGCTACCTGACCAACATACAGGTTTCTCAAGAGGAAGGTCATGTGCTCTGGTATTCCCATCTCTTGAAGAATTTTCCACAGTTTATTGTGATCCACAGAGTCAAAGGCTTTGGCATAGTCAATAAAGCAGAAATGCTGTTTCAATGATCTAGTGGATGTTGGCAATTTGATCTCTGGTTCCTATGCCTTTTCTAAAACCAGTTGAACATCTGGAAGTTCACAGTTCATGTATTGCTGAAGCCTGACTTGGAGAATTTTGAGCATTACTTTACTAGCGTATGAGATGAGTGCAGTTGTGCAGTAGTTTGAGCATTCTTTGGTACTGCCTTTCCTTGGGATTGGAATGAAAACTGATCTTTCCCAGTCCTGTGGCCACTGCTGAGTTTTTCCAAATTTGCTGACATATTGAGCGTAGCACTTTCACAGCATCATCTTTCAGGATTTGAAATAGCTCAACAGAATTCCATCACCTCCACTAGCTTTGTTTGTAGTGATACTTCCTAAGGCCCACTTGACTTCACATTCCAGGATGTCTGGCTCTAGGTGAGTGATCACACCATCCAGGTTATCTGGGTGGTGAAGACGTGTTTTGTACTATTCTTCTGTGTATTCTTGCCACCTCTTCTTAATATCTTCTGCTTCTGTTAGGTCCATTCCATTTCTGTCCTTTATTGAGCCCATCTTTGCATGAAATGTTCCCTTGATATCTCTGATTTTCTTTAAGAGATCTCTAGTCTTTCCCATTCTATTGTTTTCCTTTATTTCTTTGCACTGATCACTGAGGAAGGCTTTCTTATCTCTCCTTGCTATTCAAATGGGTATATCTTTCCTTTTCTCCTTTGCTTTTCACTTCTCTTCCTTTCACATGTATTTGTAAGGCCTCCTTAGAATCTCACTTTGCTTTTTTGCATTTCTTTTTCTTGGGGATGGTCTTGATCCATGTCTCCTGTACAATGTCAAGAACTTCCGTCCATAGTTCATCAGGCACTCTATCAGATCTAGTCCCTTAAATCTATTTGTCACACCCATTGTATAATCATAAGGGATTTGATTTAGGTCATACCTAAATGGTTAGTGGTTTTCCCCACTTTCTTCAATTTCAGCCTGAATTTGGCATAAGGAGTTCATGATCTGAGTCATAGTCAGCCCCCTGTCTTATTTTTGCTGACTGTATAGAGCATCTTTGGCTACAAAGAATATAATCAGTCTGATTTTGATGCTGACCATCTTGTGATGTCCATGTGTAGAGTCTTCTCTTGTGTTGTTGCAAGAGGGTGTTTGCTATGACCAGTGTGTTCTCTTGGCAAGACTCTGTTTACCTTTGCCCTGCTTCATTCTGTACTCCAAGGCCAAAGTTGCCTGTTACTCCAGGTATTTCTTGAGTTCCTACTTTTGCATTAGTCATGCTGTGTGGGGCCACCCAAGACGGATGGGTCATGGTGGAGAGGTCTGACAGAATGTCATCCACTGGAGAAGGGAATGGCAAACCACTTCAGTATTCTTGCCTTGAGTACCCCATGAAGAGTATGAAAAAGCAAAACGATAGGACACTGAAAGATGAACTTCCCAGGTCAGTAGGTGCCCAATACGCTACTGGAGATCAGTGGAGAAATAACTCCACAAAGAATGAAGGAATGGAGCCAAAGCTAAAGCAACACCCAGTTGTGGACGGGACTGGTGATAGAAGCAAGGTCTGATGCTGTAAAGAGTGATATTGCCTAGGAACCTGCAATGTTAGGTCCATGAAACAAGGCAAATTGGAAGTGGTTAAACAGGAGATGGCACGAGTGAATGTCTACATTCTAGGATTCAGAGAACTAAGATGGACTGGAATGGATGAATTTAACTCAGATGACCATTACATCTACTACTGTGGGCAGGAATCCCTTAGGAGAAATGGAGTAGCCATCATAGTCAAGAAAAGATTCCGAAATGCAGTACTTGGATGCAATCTCAAGAATGACAGAATGATCTCTGTACGTTTCCAAGGCAAACCATTCAGTATCATGGTAGTCTAAGTCTATGCCCTGACCAATTAACGGTGAAGAAGCTGAAGTTGAATGGTTCTATGAGGACCTACAAGACCTTTTACAACTAACACCCAAAAAAGATGCTCGTTTCATTATAGGGGACTGGAATGCAAAACTGGAAAGTTCAGTATTATGGGCCCACTTAAGAAAAAAAAAAAAATCTTGTTATGGCAGTACAAAGATTTTTAGTATATGGCACCTGCCTACTTTTCTACATTTTCTGCCATTCTCTCTGCCTTCACTCTTAAGTCCAGCTTGTCTTCTTTATTTAATGTTCTCTGTCAATAGCAATGAGCCTTATACGCAGGCCTTGGGCATCTTTTCTATCTCTGATAAGCACCTTGCACCTTCTGTTTTCTAGAGAATGTTTCTCTTCAACAATAGAATGAACTCAGTGAGGACCAACTTTTTAAATTTAAATCTGTCTGTTCCTGTTATCTACCTTCATGTCCTTTTTATAGATGAATACATTTAAGTAACCAAATGGGGCTAATATAAGAGGCTTGAACTATGTGAAAAGCTGGTCATTTGTGCAAAGCTTTTTTCCATGTTCCATAATTACAGTTTTGGCCTATACATGATTCATTATCCTGTGGTGCTTACTTCCTTGAAGTTTGGAAGAAAATGAGTATGTAGTTTACAAATTAATCACCACAGGAGAAAGTACTGTTCATTTGTGTTTCTTAATTATGATGAGGAAGTATTATTTTATTTCATTAGTTTACCTGTCTCTCTAAAGGATATAATTTACTAAAAAATCACAGCTTGGTATTAAAACTGGGATTATTTGGTATCATGGCAAATATGGAAGTGAAAACAATCCTTTCCATTAAGCAAAACAGTTCTGCCATAACCCAAGTCTCTCCAGAGAATGACATTTTTCTCTCTACAAAAGATGCCATGAATGTAACCCAAGAGAACTGGCCATAAATCTACCAACCTTTAAATTTTCTGAAGTCCAAAAATAGTATTATATTGTACCAAAGGTAAATAGGAGCTTTACATTATCTAGCCAGTTTAAATTTTAATGTTTTTCTTTTTTATAAATTATCATTATGGATTCTTTAGAAGACATAATATATAAATGAAAACCTGAAGCAGTGCTATTAAGCGGTTCTTTTTATGTTGGTCAAACTGCAGTCAGAACTTTATTTTCCTTTACTAACTCACTGGTAATTCTGCAGCTTCAGAGTGACGACTGTTGAATTATAGGAGTAGAAGCATCATGAGACAGTTTAACATTTGCAAGAGAAAGTTAATTATTTGAAGATTTGAGACTTATCCAGAGGTTTCAAAAATATTTTTGTCTCAGTTTTTAAAAATACATGCATATTTATTTAGCCTCTTAATGCATGTTGTTTCCAACCAAGTAAGTCTATTTTCAAAACAGAGATTATTTAAGAGATTTGGCATATTTTTCTTTTCTTGGTGAATGTGCCAAAGGTCTGTTTTCTATAAGACATGTGTCTGTTTCAACTTACTATTTTGATTATGAGTAGTTTATTATCCAGATAGACCTTCAAAAATAGAATATTTGCTGAAGAGTTCTTATGCATATGGTGAAGTGAAGTTTTTAGAATTATTCAGGATTTATAAATAGCATGTAAGATAATATCGAGAGCACATTAACTATAATGTATAATGCCTTTTAAAAAAAGGAAAGATGATAATATTCCAAGCGTCACCAATAAGGAAGTAAGTGGGTGGAACATCTTCCAATGCTGATTTGGCTTCCCTCAGATCAGTGTTAACATCTTTATATTTAAGTGACTGAGGTTCCAGTGTTTACACTGTCCACTTGCGTTTGTCTAGTCTCCCAAGTTTTATTACTTCTTATGAATACTGCCTTGAGATTCTGCCATCCACACTTCGCCTTACACCTTTTCACATTAGGAGCGTGCACTTCCTGGGGGGCAGTTTTTTTTCATGATTGAAACTGCTCAGAGTTTCCATCTGCTTTTACTTGACTTGTGGTCTTGAAGATCATGCTTGGCCCATGGGATATTACAGTGTGCCGAGAGGATGTGGAGTTTTGTCAGCCAGTGAAATATGTCTGGTTTTTTTTCTCTTTTCTTTTTTTCTTCAGCAGCTTTCATATGCTTCTCATCCTGTGTGGTCTTTGCTAAACTGAATTTATATTTAACAGAACTGCTCACTCTCTTTATCATCTTCTATGACTTGGCCTTTTTAACGAGAAGGTGTGTGGAAGGGATATCTGAGCCAAAAAACTGTAGTTTTGGCAATAGCAAAACCTAAAACCAAAAGCTTAAAGTAGTGTTATATATGAATGTGCTTTAATACTCACAAATGTGTATTTTGTAATGCAGAAGAATATCATATTTCAGACATGTACATCTGTCAAAAAAATTTCTCATGCCAATAGTAGATTCCAAGTTTTGTCTGTGATCCAAATAACATTTTTGCTTGTTTTTAGGCACTACTACAGTCTTCAGTTAAGCAACAAGTAGAAGCTATTGAAAAGCAGTACATTTCTGCAATTGAGAAACAAGCTCACAAGTGTGAAGAGTTGTTAAATACTCAGGTAATAAAATTGCACATCCATTGTATATTTATACTTTCCTTCTGACTCTTGTCCCCTGAGAGCTCTATAACTTTATTAATTTTCCTGTCATTTACTTTCCTTGATGTATTTTGGAGAAAAAAAATCTGCTGATGTAAAATCAATGTTAAAATTTTGGAATTTTATGATAGACTAAAAATAGGACTAAAGGCCTAAAATATGTGAATATTCCCCAAATTAATGATAATTCTTATGCTGATTTCTGGATTATCATATTATTTATCAAATAGCAAAAGCAAAAGAGATGACTGTGAATGTATTATGGCATGTGAAATGATTTGTGGTATAAGATTTAAAAATAATATTTGAATTTAAGTACTTATTTGTGTTTGATTTACCTTTCATTGCTTTATGAATTTATTTCTATTTTAATATTTTCTCATGATATTTTTTTGTTTCCTCTTGATTAATGTCTTAGAAAGCATTGCAGACATGATAAGTACATTTACATGAAATAGTCAATTGAAAAGCCTGTATGTATGTGTCAGAGTATTAATAATATGTGCAAGAAGTTCCCAGCTACACTTTTGAATAATGTGAAGCTCGATGGGTGAAAATAAAATCAACCTTATGTAAAAGACCTATTTCATATTACAGGAAAAAAATATACTAATAGAAAAATTAGATTTAGAATTTAAATGAAGATTTATAAACATGCCATTTAGTTCCCAGGATTGGGGTCAGTTTGGTTCAGTATTTTCAGAGTCTTTTTAACAAGTGGTTTGGAATAGGAAATGCACGGAAAATTTTATAAATTTGGTAAAAAACAATTATACTCTCTTGGCTGGTAGAATACCAGGTTGTCAGAGATAAGAAGGATATGTCTATAAATGTACAGAAAAATCACAGAGAAGAGGAGGTTACAGAACTGTGAAACAGCATAAGGCATATATTAGCCAGGCCAGGCCATGTTATGCCTTAAACTCCCTGACTTCAGACAGCGAAGATTTATGTCTTAGCCAATTTTCTGTATCACTGAGGCTGCTTTGAGGGCTCAGTGTCATGATGTCCTCATGATGGAAACTATTCTGATAAAAAAGTTCAATTGTGAAATGTTACCTGTTACCTGGTAGAGTTAAAAAAAAAAATCTCAGTCGGATTTCCTACTGGTAGTTCAGCATTCTGGACTGGAAATGACACTTCTACTCCCAACTTGTATCTGCAGTGCCCACACAGTCATCTTCAGGTCAGTGAGTGAGACCCTATTCTGAATCCAGAGGGAGAGGGCAGGAAATCTTTGATAAGCAGCACTGGTATACCATGGTCTGCTCTTTGGGTTGCCAGATATTTCCAGCCTTCATTTCTCAGGTAAAATTTCTTAACCTGCCCATATGGGAGAAAACCTGAAGGTTCTATCCAGATATTGTTGTTGTTCAGTTGCTCAGTTGTGTCCATCTCCTTGTGATCCATGGACTGCAGCATCCATGGACTTCATTACCTGTCCTTCACTATCTCCCCGAGTTTGCTCAGACTCATGTCCATTGAGTCGATGATGACATCCAACCATCTCATCCTCTGTCACCCACTTCTCCTCCTATTCTCAATATTTCCCAGCATCAGGGTTTTTTTTTTTCCAGTGAATCAGATCTTTTCTATCAGGTGGCCAGAGTATTGGAGGTTCAACTTCAGCATCAATCAGTCCTTCTACTGAATACGCAGGACCGATTTCCTTTAGGATTGACTGGTTTGATCTCCTTGCTGTCCAACGGACTCTCAAGAGAATTCTCAAGTACTACAATTTGAAAGCATCAATTCTTTGGTGCTCAGCCTTCTTTATGGTCCACCTCTCACATCTGTACATGACTACTGGAAAAACCATAGCTTTGACTATATGGACCTTTGTTGACAAAGTGATGTCTCTGCTTTTTAATATGCTGTCTAGGGTGGTCATAAATTTTCTTCTAAGGATCAATCATCTTTTAATATCATGGCTGCAGTCACCATCTGCTTTGATTTGGGAGCCTAAGAAAATAAAGTTTGTCACTGTTTCCCTTAATTTCTCATCTGTTTGCCATGAAGTGATGGGACTGGATGCCATGATCTTAGTTTTTTGAATGTTGAGTTTTAAGCCAGCTTTTTCACTTTCTTCTTTCACTTTCATCAAGAGGCTCTTTAGTTTCTCTTCACTTTCTGCCATTAAAGTAGTATCATCTGCATATCTGAGGTCATTGACATTTGTCCAAACAATCTTTATTCCCACTTGTGCTTTATCCAGTGTAGCATTTTGCATGATGCGCTCCGCATGTAAGTTACATAAGCCGGGAGACAGTGGACAGCCTTGACGTTGTCCTTTCCCGACTTTGAACCTGCTGTTCCGTGTCCAGTTCTAACTGTTGCTGCATGGCCTGCATACATGTTTCTCAGGAGGCAGGTAAGGTGATCTGATATTTCCATCTCTTTAAGAATTTTTCAGTTTGTTGTGATCCACAGTCAAAGACTTTAGTGTAGTCAATAAAGCAGAAGTAGATGTTTTTCTAGAATTCCCTTGCTTTTTCTATGATCCAATGGATGTTGGTAATTTGATCCCGGGTTCCTCTGCCTTTTCTAAATCCAGTTTGTACATCTGGAAGTTCTTGGTTCATGTATTGTTGAAGCCTAGTTTGAAGTATTTTGAGTATTATCTTGCTAGCATGTGAAATGACAGCAATTGTATGGTAATTTGAACATTGTTCATCATTGCCCTTCTTTGGGATTGAAATGAAAACTGACCTTTTTCCAGTCCTGTGGCCACTGCTGAGTCTTCCAAATTTGCTGGCATATTGAGTGCATCATTTTAATAGCATCAACTCTTAGGATTTATAATAGCTCAGCTGGAATTCCATCAGCTCCACTAACTTTGTTTGCAGTGATGCTTGACACCATAGTCCCAGATGTCTGGCTGTTAGTAAGTGATAGTCTCAAGCTCAGAAGTCCAGGATATTTGAGTGATAGGTGGGAAATGATGTGCTGTAGTCTCTACATCATCAGGTCTAGATATATGGTCCCTTTTGACCTGAAGAACTAGAAACTAAAATGTGTGTTGTTTACCACCAGCAGATCTGGTATATAGTAATGAGACAGAGGGCAGGGTATATGCTGTGAATACTCTCAGAAAGAAAGATGAATCAGAGATGCACAGCTATCATTACTATGTAGCAATTCCAAAATCTCAATGAATAGATTCAGTATCTCTGCTGTGGGGGTTGGGTTTGCTTTTTAATTTACCGTGATTCACTTTTCGGGGTTTAGGGCCAGGGTTTCTTGTCCATTGTTCTTTATGAATCCTATAGGGTCTAAATTTTTAGTTGTTTTTTTTTTTTTTTGGCTATACCTAATGTGAGTATTGGAGATTATATAGTTTTTCACCCTGCTCCCTCACTATAAAAATTTGGGAGTCCTGGGTCATTTAGGGTAGGAAACAGTCACAATTCAGGATGACAGTTCTTTGGACATTTTATGTGGTTACAATTGGCTCCATTTGTTAGATCCAAATCCCTAGTTATTTTAGAGACCCATGTTCTAGATTTAATATGTTAAATATGTTCATGCTTTCCTGTCTGTCTATGTCTCTCTCATCTTCTGATTAAAGATAGCTTTGTTTATGAAACCCAGTTTGAAGAAATCCCAGTGTTCCCTTTTTCTCAAACCATTTGGTCCTAAATGAAAGCGTATACAGGACCATCACAGACTTATTGAGCCTTTTCTTGGGGATCCTTTAATCCATTGAATCTTTAACAGTGGGTTCGCCTATTTACTGTTTGCAAGAGCACTCTAAAGAATAAACTGTCCTGGAGGCATTTAATTTTTTAAAAATATAATTAACCAAGGAGACATCCTGGAATGTGAAGTCAAGTGGGCCTTAAAAAGCATCACTCTGAACAAAGCTAGTGGATGTGATGGAATTCCAGTAGAGCTATTTCAAATCCTGAAAGATGATGCTGTGAAAGTGCTGCACTCAATATGCCACCAAATTTGGAAAACTCAGCAGTGGGCACAGGACTGGAAAAGGTCAGTTTTCATTCCAATCCCTAAGAAAGGCAATCCGAAAGAATGCTCAAACTACTGCACAATTGCACTCATCTCACACGCTGGTAAAGTAATGCTCAAAATTCTAAGCAAGCTAGGCTTCAGCAATACATGAACCGAGAACTGCCAGATGTTCAAGCTGGTTTTAGAAAAGACAGAGGAACCAGGGATCAAATTGCCAGTATCCGCTGGATTATCGAAAAAGCAAGAGAGTTCCAGAAAAACATCTATTTCTGCATTATTGACTATGCCAAAGCCTTTGAGTGTGTGGATCACAATAAACAGTGGAAAATTCTGAAGGAGATGGGAATACCAGACCACCTGACTTGCCTCTTGAGAAACCTGTATGCAGGTCAGGAAGCAACAGTTCAAACTGGACATGGAACGACAGACTGGTTCCAAATAGGAAAAGGAGTACGTCAAGGCTGTGTATTGTCACCCGGCTTATTTAACTTATATGCAGAGTACATCATGAGAAACACTGGGCTGGAAGAAGCACAAGCTGGAATCAAGATTGCTGGGAGAAATATCAATAACCTCAGATATGCAGATGACACCACCCTTATGGCAGAAGTGAAGAGGAACTAAAAAGCCTCTTGATGAAAGTAAAAGAGGAGAGTGAAAAAGTTGGCTTAAAGCTTAACATTCAGAAAACTAAGATCATGGCATCTGGTCCCATCACCTCATGGGAAATAGATGGGGAGACAGTGGAAACAGTGTCAGACTTTATTTTTGGGGGCTCCAAAATCACTGCAGATGGCGATTGCAGCCATGAAATTAAAAGACGCTTACTCCTTGGAAGGAGTTATGACCAACCTAGATAGTATATTAAAAAGCAGAGACATTACTTTGCCAACAAAGGTCCGTCTGGTCAAGGCTATGGTTTTTCCAGTGGTCATGTATGGGTGTGAGAGTTGGACTGTGAAGAAAACTGAGCACCGAAAAAGTGATGCTTT